TATTTTTTCATTTTTAATAACTCTTTACGAACCTTTAAATATGCAATTTCATCGAAAATCCTCAATAAAGAGAAACAATATTAAAACATTAATTAAAATTTTTATTTTTTAGAAATACACAATAAGTTATTAAACGTGTTTATTTCGCTTTATATTTAATTGATTTTTTTTATTTATATTTTTTTAAAAATTGTGATTAAATTCATATCCATAATATTCTCAAATAATAATAAATTTGAAAACAATAATATAGTTAGTGATAGTTAATGATAGTTATTTTAAAATTAAAACGTACCTTGTTTACGTAAATAAAGTTAAGTGGACCTACTCCTGAATTAAATAACAATTAAGTAAAAAACATATTAGAAATAAAATATTTTTATCATGTTCTTCTTTTTTCATATTTTATACTCTTTGCTATTTTTTATTATACTTTTTTACTTGTAAAAAAAAATTAATATTTTCTATAAAAACCTTACAATTGAGAATAAATGTGTGTAAGACGTAACAAATACATATAACAAGTGTTATAATATTCTATATTTCTTATTTGCATGCAAATATAAGAAATTGCGATTTAATTAAAATAGAATGTTTAATTTTATTTCTAAAATTCGAAAGTTTGTCGCTTTTGATCTATCACGTTCGCATTTCGGAACTTGTGCCAATAGAATACATGGAGAAAGAATGATTCTCCATGTATTCTGCTAGGGATAATAGGAAGGTTTGATAGAAGATTTTGAAATGGAAGGAAACCAGACTCGCGTTGGGGTCCGTGTGACAAATAACCGTTAAAAACGCACCGTCGTAACTCCACGCCCTTCCACGCGACGCAAACCCGATATGACAACCTAGCGTGAGAATCGCGGGGGTGAGAGGATGAGTAGAGATGCCCGGAGGGGTAGTAGCCTGGACACCAGGGCACTTGATTACATCGCGATAGCAAACATCATGTTGATATAAACTTTGTTTCGGTATGATATGGATACAATGGTTGTCTGGAATTCTGATTGTATATGTGCATCAGTCAGGCACCGTGTAACTTCGCACATTTTGTACCTTGTGATAACAGATCAGCGTGATGTGATTATGTATAAACTTGAAACGTTTAGTAGATGATTTGATTTGTATTAGGACGTTGATATGCATTAGTCTTGCATATTTGAAAGAAAGTTGATATTATATTTTTTATATTATATTTTTATATTTTTTTTTATATTTTTATATATATTATATTTTTTGGCAGTTTGAAATTTTTGAATATAGATTATATCTTTTATTTTCTATTATATAGATTATATACCTTTTCTAGTATTATGTATTTCTTCTAAGTTGTAAACTCTATTTATTTATGATTTTATCTGTGAGTCTTCAAGAGTTTCGTCATGTTGAATTCTTTATTAATGTACTTTAGCAAAAACTATTATGTTAATGATATCAGAAAATTTCCAAAAAGTTATGTTGGAAGAATATAAAAACAAAATAATAATGTTTTTTACTGGCAGTTTTTTACTGGTGCGCACTCAGTACACATTACATTAACCTAATCTGAATGTAAAAGTGAGATATCTCAATTAATAAAATACTCAATGTATATTTTATCAAATAACACAATAAAATGCATTGAGAATTTCGAGGTTTAATTCGTTTCTATATTTTTATTAAACGTACATCTTTACGTCGATTTGTATACGAATTTTAAAGTGCACTGAGTGCCCACCAGTAAAAAATCTGCCAATGAAAAACGCTATAATATATGATAATTTTTTATTCTCGGCTATTGTATTAATTGTATTTTTGAGGTAATCGATCCAAGTCGAATGCGGAAGGATAAGCCGATAAAAAGTCGTAATATTATGGATATTTATGCACTTGGGTACGCACCGTATGCGAGCAAAAATAGAGTAAAAGGAGTCTGCTTACGGCCGAGAAGAAAGGTTGGTTTAGGTTGGACCGGTGGCAGAGGTGAAACGGGAGGGTTTTTACGAGGCAGTAATGGCCGATAAGGTGAGCTTGCGCCCCCACTGTCGGGGCTTACTCCGCTACTGTACCCAAGTGACTGTTCAACAGTACCTATTCGCTGTCGTATACTCCCTTACTTTCTCTCGGAACGACTCATGCCACGCTTTATTTTAAGCCGTTTACACATTTCCTTTATCGGCACGAGCCTCGTTTATATCACCGCGTTTGATATTCGCAGTCCCAAAGCGCTGCGGGATATCAGAAATTCGTTAGAATGCTCTTTTAATAAATATCTTAAGTGGCAGCTCATAAAGATAACATAACTTGTTTTAAAACAAGAAGTAGGAAGAATGAAATGACGTATCAACTGAATCTACATTCAATTTTCATCAAAATATCTCACTAATGTATACATTTCTCTTGTTATTTTTAAATAAAAATTTAATACATTTTTATCAATTAATTTTTTTATTTTAAATACTTTGACAACGAAGATATGATTTACGTGTTATTATTATTAGCGAAATAAAATAGAATTCTTTAACGCGCCATTTTGTCCAAAGCGCGGATCGGTATATTTATAGTAGGAGTGAATTAACATATTTCTGAAGAATATCATCTCAATCGCTGTTTTGCTTATAATTCTTACGAATAAATACAACATGAGGAAAGAACAAAAAAAGTTTATCGTATTTGTTTGTTGTTCGCAGGGGCGAACGGAATGCGCAGACGTGGCCGACAGACCTACACGCGCTACCAAACTCTGGAGCTGGAGAAGGAATTCCACACGAACCATTATCTTACCAGGCGGAGGCGAATCGAGATGGCACACGCGCTCTGCCTGACAGAACGGCAAATCAAGATTTGGTTCCAGAATCGGCGAATGAAGTTGAAGAAGGAGATTCAGGCGATCAAGGAGCTAAACGAGCAGGAGAAGCAAGCGCAGGCGCAAAAGGCGGCAGCGGCAGCGGCGGCGGTTGCGCATCAGCAGCAAGGAGGGGGTGGGGGACCAGAGGGGGGCAACTAGGGGTACGCCCTGCATCGGAGCCCCCCTGATCACCCCACCGCCAATCCACACCATCCTCTACTAGCACCGCAATGTACACAGCTGTATTAAAGGTAAGTGTGATTTTTCTTATAATTTATACTTCATTTTTTCTTGAGAACTCTGATTAAATCGTCAGCTCGTATTATGATCTTCTGAAAAAAAAAAAAGATTCATCAATCTTTTTAAAGCATTTCAATACCTACATACAATACATATATTTATTAAATGTAAACACTGAAAAAAAAATTTGTCGTATTAAAAATTAAAATTTAATCGTATTCTGCTTAACAAATTGTTCAATGTTAAGCAGACGATTAAATTCGATTAAATAAAATTTGTTGAATTAATCAAATCTGCAAACAAAAAAATGTATTTAGTTAGTTAAACAAATTTTTTTTAAATGTACATATTACATTTCTTTGTATGTATATTCTCAGTAATGATGTGATAAAAAAGATATCTTTATATCTACACAAGTGTTTGCTACTAGAAACATATGTGTAAATTCAAATAACTATAATTTTATTAATCCTTCACCGGAGCAATTATGATTTCTTTAAAGATCACAAATATCAAAAATTTGATTGTAAATTTTGGTAAATAAATTTAAATTTGTAAAAATAAATAAAGTAATTCAATTTCTATGATGGTAAAAATTCGTTAAAATTTTGATAAGTATATCAGAATTTTTTTAGATATTTATATAATCCGAAGTAATAAAAAATTTTTTCTATTTTTTAAAGATATCTATTGCTAACGAAAGAGTTAAAATTTATATTGTCGAGGGTTAATAATTGTTATAATATTTATTTTTATCGTTTTTTAGATACTTATGAGTATATATATATATTTTTTGGCAATATTAGAATATAAAATCATTGCAGTCTAGCACTTTTTATGGAGTGCAAATGCATACGTCCACTAACAAAATGGACGTATGCATTTGAGGCAACAGTTAGGATTATGTGATGTGCATTAAAAAAACGGTAGTCGTATAAACGTTAAAAGCGGCGTTAAAAATGAGATTCGAGCTTTTAGCAGCAGCGGCTTTAAAATTAAGTTTATTCAGCGAGCTTAATGAGGATAAACCGCATACAAGCGTGCTTTCATAATTTTCTAAGTTATGCTATTCGCGTGTGTTTAACTTGCGCTGAACGTGTATCCCGAGGGAGCGACGAACGCAAACTTGAAATATCATATCACGTTTTTCTTGTCGTTTCTGCCAGTATCGAATAAAAAACTTATCAGTTTTATCGCGCTGTGTTTGCTTCCGTTACTTTAAACGGTCTTGGTATGGAGTAAAATTACAACGTTTTGTATTGTGAATTTCCTAGTTACAAAATCGAAAATTGTCAAAGCAGGTAAATTAAAAAAAAAAAGAGAAAAAAGTCACTTATAAATTAGAAACGATAAATTGTCTGAAGCAAGTGGATGATGCAAAGAAGAAAGTATAGAAAGTTAGGTAAAAAAACCTAGACAATAGTACCAATTTCTCTATCACAAAAAATTTGCTGTAATTTATATTTCTCGAGAGCCAACTGTCCATTGTAAAAAAATAGAGGATCCTTTAAATTGGTCAGTCCGGACAATATCAACTGTAAAAAAAGGTTTCCGCTTTTTTCTTTCACACTTTCACGTGAATCTCCGTCGTTGTTGGAAGATATTTATGATTCTTCGCATATTTGAGTTAAAAAAACAGGCCTTAGAAACTCACACTAACTTTAAAAGTAGTATGCAATTTTGATTGTCAATTACGTTGCGCACGTATATTTTCTTTCTTATAAACACGAACACTTTTTCGACTGTAACTTACAATATCTATTGTGTTTTGAAATTTTCAAGATTATGTTGTTTTAAGTTATTATAAAAAAGGCAGAACTTTTTAAAAAATAAATTTTTTAATGTAATATACATAGGTAAAACATTAAATATTGTAAAAACACTACTGTAAAAAAAATCACGCAAACTTTAATTTATTACATATACGTTCTTAAAATATTTAATACGTCTGCGGCAGAAACGAAATACGCCAGGCAGAGAACTATGATCGAAACTCCTTATTCTTCGGAACCCACTGGAGCGCTTAATATCTCTTTTTTGGTATCTTCGGGCGACGAAGAAGTTCGGGCATAAATTTTGTCCCGATTGCACGTAATATTACGCCAGCGAAGCGATTCCCCGATTAACTCCGTGGATTGCACCGTAATTGTACGCCACTTGAAATGCGATTAAATAACTCTTCGCCGGTAATATTTATTTAATCGTGCTTATTTAATCGCCCATATCAGAATAAACGTAGTCTTGAAATATTATAGAATTATTATCGATTTCTGCCACAATCATATAAATATGATAAATGATTTGCTTAACGAAAATTTATATTTTAAAATATATTTTATTTATTACTGATTTCATTATTCATTATATTTTTGTATCTTTTTTGTCACATATATATATACATTTTTTATTTCTATTTTTCATAATTAATACATTTAATAAATAAAGTAGATAGAGAAACATGTTTCTATAAAGATTTTGTAAAAGAAGATAAATCATTTTGAATTCCATCTATTATCCGAAAAGGAATGAAATGTAGATTTGCTTCTGTAAGTCGATCTAGATATATGGGAAGATAAATTTTGATAGAAGACATGAAAAAGCAATTTAGAAGAGTTTTAATGGTCAATGTATGAGACAATCGCGACGATATCGAATGATTAATTTATTTATCTTTATCTTCAATTAATTTATTCTATCAAGTTAGGATTGCTATGAATGTTCTTACTAGATTTAAAATGTTTAAAAAATGTATTCAATATTTTATATTTTCATTTGTATCTACATGCATTTAGAAAAAAAGAAAATTTTCTTTTCCACAAATAGTCTAATTAAATATTTTCTATAAAAAATGATTTTATAATATAAATATTTAATGTTTATATTTACATATTTCATG